AATGAGATCTCTGCATTGTTTGGGAGACACTGGAAAGCGGGGAGTCAAGAATTTAGGGAAAAGAGTCTGATGAATTTCTCTATCCAGCATGGGAAGGCTGCACAGAGCACAGAGAAGTGGCAGCAAAGCAACACACACCAGGTAACTCAAGGATTCATATCCAAGAGGTAAACTCAGGTCAGTTGGGATACCTGCCTCCCCCCTTCCCTTCTCCTATTTATTTCAAGTTTTCATATCCCCTACTCATAACTCCACTCATCTGAAGAAGTGGGCTGTGCCCACGAAAGCTCATGATACCATCTCCATGTTTTGTTAGTCTATAAAGTGCTACCAGACCACTTGTTTTTTTCTGTAACAGACTCACTCAGCTACCCCCTAAAGCTGCCTTCACACAGGTTGTCTGACATCGGAGCTAACACAGATCTTGCTTGGAGCCCGAATTCACTCAAAGCTCTTGTTCTGCTGAGACCGGACAAAGTTCTTACCTTTGACAAGTTAGAAAAATCTGCCTTTTTGCCCCCTTTAACATCTTAGGATGCTCATGAGGGCTGCTGAGTGAGATAAGAGTATATGAAATTCCTGTCCATTACACTATCTATGCCTACACCTCCATTCTGCCTGCATGCTCTGGGCATATGAAAATCCCCTCCCATAAACAACCCTTGAACTATCTAATACACACTTGAGCCTACCTTTGCCTCTCACGTTTAAGCCATGTTTATCCCCTCTGAAATTCAGGTTCAAGATTTTTCAGTCTCCTCTATCCCAGACAAGAAGGTCCTCCATGTGAACAGGGAATACGGAATTAAGTTCTCAAAGACCAAAGTAACATCCAGGGAGCTCACCCCGGGACCTACTGCTTCCAAGGATGCGAGGCTCAGACCCGTCCCTAGCCTTCAGCTGCAGAACAAACACAAACAGACGTTCCCAGTGTCCAGGAGAAAAAAAAAATGCAATTGCTTCAGAAGATCCGCCCCCCCACATGCAGCTTTCTCTGGCTTACACAGAGCTTTATTATCTCCCAGTGCCACAGTGGATGGGAGAACACACAATTCCATTTATTAATAACTGCTCCCCCATTCCTCAGTCTCTCCCTTTACTCCCCCCATCCCTTCCAACTCTCTGGATTTCCCTCATGCATAATGCAGGAGACATAGTTCTTGACACTACCCACTCTGTACTCGGTGCCTCGGAGTCAGCTGAGAACAGGCTTAAGTACCAGCCAGGGCCTGTCCCCATGTTCCACACACTGCAGGCCAGAGACACTTGCACGGCAGGTTTTCATTGTTCCTAATGCAGCCTCGTTCTGTTCCAGCCCTTTTTATAGAGCTTTGCAGTGATAGGACAGATCCGCAGTGCACGCTTCTAACGGACGAGAAGCCAGGAAGTTCTGCTCTTCTCATACAATAGCACGAGTCCACTGAGGCAATAGGTTTTCAGCTCCATTACACCAATATATTTGGCCCTGTGTATCGCAGAATAGCATCCAGCAGTTTAATGCCGATTACTAGCATCATTTTAATGTGGATTTATTAGGGTCCTACCAAATTCATGGTCATGAAAAACATGTCACAGACTGAAATCTGGTCTTTTCTGTGCTTTTACTCTGTACTACACAGAGAACACCAGCATTTCTCGAATTGGAGGTCCTGACCCAAAAGGTAATTGCAGAGGGTGGGAGGGGTCACAAGGTTATTTTAGGGGGGGAGGGTAGTATTGGAGAGTGGTGATATTTGGGGAGTGGGATTACCCAGCTCTCAAGGCTGCACTCCGTCAGAAGCGGTGCAGAAGACTGGCAATACCATACCACTCTTCCTTCTATGCGGCTGCCTTCAGAGCTGGGATACTGGCCATCAGCCGCTCTCCAGCTACCCAGGTCTGAAGGCAGTGCCACCATGAGCAGCAGTACAGAAGGAAGGGTAGCAATACCACAGCCCCCACTCCTCCTACAACTAGAGCCGGGGTTAGGGGTGGGTGAGCCGGGCCATTTTCAAGGGGCCACTGACAGAGCCCAATGGAAGCCCACTCGGGACATGTGGCAATTAAAAGGGCCACGACTGTCTACCTTTTTTTTTTTTTTGGCTTGACAAGTTCCCTGGCGGTCACCCAGGGCTGTCAATAGGACTGACCCTTCCTACACCACCACCATGGAGATTTAAATAGCTAAAATAATGAAATGTATTATTTTTAAAGTCCTAGGATTGTGAAATTGACCAAGACAGACCATTAATTTGGTAGTACCCTAGTTATAATACTACCTTGCCCTTCTGTAGCACACACAGATCCCTAAGTGCTTCATAAATGTCAAGTAAGTCTCAAACTACCCGCTCACCACTGACATTTATAACAAATACCATTTACAGAAGATCAATCTGCAGCACAGATGGCAATGTTGGGTGTACAAGGACATAATTAGAGAGGAATGGACTTCTAAAAGGAGTTGGTGCAGAAGTGAAGAACAGATCCCCTTACAGTTCACTAATCTAACTATTTAATCATCCTTCCTCATCCCTTTACAATATTGAAGCTCTCTTTACTGATATTAATAGGGACTCACTACTATGCAAAACAGATATAGAACTGGTCAATAACCCAGAATTCACAGCTCAGATAGGGAAAAGAACCTTCTACTAGTTTAATAGGATACCTCTGGTTTTCCAAAGGCAGATGTGGTGCAAACCAAACATCCAACAGAACTGGAAGGAGAAGCAGCCAGCCAGACTGCTGGCAAAACCAGACAGAGACAAGGAAGATGTGAGGAATACAAACACTAAGTCTGGCATTGGAAGTCACTGGAGATGGAAAAGGTCACAGACACAGACACACAGTTTTCTAGATGATTTGAATGCCCTATTAAGAAGCTTCAGACACATGGAAGAAAAATAATCTAGCCCCAAACCCCCAAACAACCTTGCTATATTTCTCTGCACAAGAACTAGATGACATTCTAGAACGGTTGGCCACATTCTAGAAGTGTTAACCAGCCACGTCCCATTTGCTGTAGTGTCTGGCTGGTGAGTCTTGCCCACATGCTCAGGGTTTAGCTGATCGCCATATTTGGGGTCGGGAAGGAATTTTCCTCCAGGGCAGATTGGCAGAGGCCCTGGAGGTTTTTCGCCTTCCTCTGTAGCATTGGGCACAGATCACAGCTGAAGGACTCTCTGCATGTTGGGTCCTTCAAAGTATCTGAATGCTTCAATATCTTTGATATAGGTGAGAGGATTATTCTAAGAGGGGTGGTTGAGATTCTGTGGCCTGCACTGTGCAGGGGGTCAGACTAGATGATCATAATGGTCCCTTCTGACCTTAAAGTCTATGAATCTATGAATAAGGCTGCAGTCCTTAATTCACAACCCTTTCCTCATGCTTTTATGCTGAGTTTGTCATTGGCAGTATCTCTCAACAAGAGAAGGTCAGAGAGCCCAATTCTCTTTTTATTTATATCAGTGTCACTCTGTTGCCCATAGCAAAGATGCCTTTATGGACAGAAGTATGAGCTGGAGGAAAATCAGGCCCAGCATCAGCTGTTCTATTCTTCTGCACCACAGCAGCTTTCTGCCCAATATCTACCTTCCACCCCACAGGTTAAACCTCTCTAGTCCAGCAACATCCATGGTCCAGCATGATTTTAGTTATCAGGATGGCCACTTACGCATGTGTCCAAGTTTCCCACAGTCCTGTAAAGTTTGTTTACAGCCACCAGTCCTGGCTCTCAGTGTTCTGTGCTGTTCTTTAGCTCTGATTTAGCCCTCAATGTCTTCTCAGAGCCCAGGAAGCAGTGGAAGTGTTGGTCATGCTGCTAGACAATATTGACCTCCTGTGTTCTGACAAATTCTCTAATTCGACACTGGTCAGCTCCCGAGGGTGCCAGACTAGAGAGGTTCATCCTGGACATAATGGAACTTGGACAAGATGGTAGGGAAACCCCCCAAAACTCTGGTAAATGAATTCCTTGGCCTGGAAGAGTGGTCCCCACAAAACTCCTTCATGTGACTAACTCCGGCCCTTACTGTACAATTCCTGCTTTTCTAGGCAAATCACGACTCTGCCTTAGCAATGTGTCTACAGTAGGGATGTTAGACACACCGTATTCCTTCCTATCAAGCCCCTCAGATGCCAAAGGATTTCACCATGTAGTGGCCACACTACTCATGCAAAGGTAACACGAGTTGGGAGGACACCACATCACATTCTTTTCAACATTTTGAGTTGACACATGCAAAGTGAGGTTCCCGGAGCAGGCTAGACTAGCAGCCAGGGGATGGCCTTATACTCACATGAATCCCAGGACCAATGGGCATTGGAGACCTGCTGATCTCCAAGGATCTGAGCTCAGGGTTCAGCCATGTGAGTCTCCATTCCATAGATCTTAACAATCAAGCAGCCATTGGCCCTGTGCCATGACTAGACACTAACCAACTGTGCCACCCAACCTGATCGGATACAAACTGGAGTGTCAGCTGTTCTGAGCAATATTCAAATTGCATAGATCCACCCACAATGGCTGTACCCTAGATACAAGTTTCCACCGATCAGCTCCCTGCTGCACACCTCTTCAAAATCCAACCAGGCTCTTCACTCAGGTGTGTACACTGCACAGCTTTTAGCGACACTGCTGTGTCCATGCAGCCGGGTCACCAGGGACATCCCTAGAGGGGCGCTAGGCCTGGGGCAACTCCCTCGCCACAGGCCCCGCCCCTGCTCTACCTCTTTCCCCAAGTCCCACCCCTTTGCCCCTTCTCCTGAGCAATGTGAGCCAGGGACTACTGGGTGGCCTGGTGCAGGACAGCAACAGGGGTCGCACAATTAAGTCATTTGCCAAGTGCAGGGCCTGGAGCAACTGCCTGAAACAATCCTACGGACCCGATGGCAGCATAAACACTGTTTGTCAGCACTTTTGCTAACAAAAAAAAAAAACCCTCTCCCCCACAGTGGCTGTGTTTGCTTGGTCTGTTGGGGAGCATGCCTGCTGACCAAGCACTGTTGATGCTAGTACTTACCACAGCAAAGCTTCTGTCCTGGGTGGGGTGGTGGTTAAGCATCTGCGAACAGCCAGGTGATTCTTGCTCCCTTCCTTCCCGGCTTTTCAGTTCAATTTCACAGACCCTAAAAAAGGGAAAAGCCCATAGACCCTTATATGCACAGAGGCATTTCTCACTACTATACTGAAATGTGGCCGCCTGTAGGGTGATGGATGGTAACTAGGTGTGGACAGTTACACAGAAAGATACCTATCAAGAGAAAAATGTCAGAAAATTCGTACTCATACAAAAAGCACCATGCAATCTTTAAGAGCTGCACACCGAGATTGACTCCGTTTCTAAGGGCCCACATTGCATGGTGGGGAGTTCACTTCATCAAGCCCAGAAAGAAAAACTGCCAGAGTGAATCTTCTAGATTGTTTACCAGTAATAGAGATAGAGCCACGTTAGTCTGGTAGCTCCCCCAATTATCATCCCTAATATCGTTATCTCAGACACTAACCTCTCCTTCTTATCCCCCCCTCTGTTCTAAAATCTGATTTGTCAATTTTGTGTGTGTTCACTTTTTTATAATTGTATCTCTTAGGTATATATGGTCTTGCCAATTTTCTTCCACTATTTGATCTGAGGAAGTGGGTCTGGCCCATGAAAGCTCATCACCTAATAAACCATCTTGTTAGTCTTCACAGTGCTGCATAGTCCTGTCTTTTGTTTACCAGTAGTTCTGGAAGTGAAGTCTGGCAGACCCCCTAGATGGCAAATAAGGAAATAGTTGAACATCTAACAAAAGGTCCAGTTCGTGGTGCTCCAAGGGCAAGCACAAACTCCATGACCTTAGCAGGAGCTTTATCTTACAGTGCTTGAGACGAAGCCTGAAGTGCAAACCATTACAAATACTAGTGAATCTCTGGAACTGGCAACAAACAGGAATTAGAACACCTGGCTTTAGTAACCGGCATCAGAGATCTGTTAAAGCCTTTGCTCCCTGTTCAGCTCAACAGCTACAGAGCAGCATTTTTAGTGCTGTATTTATGCTGGCCGTGGACAGAGAAACCAAAAAACAACTCACTTGGAGCTCTGCCGGGGGCTTGGTCCGGAGAAGCAGAAAACAATCTATTCTCTTCTTGTAGGGCCAACACTCCTGACTCCTGAACACCAACAATCTTGATGGCACGGTTTTGCTCAGCCCCACCAAGAAGCTCCAATAGCCGCTGACTTTCACACAAAGTCTTTCCCGAAGTCCAATCACCAGCCAGGCTGAAATCTAGACAGCAGCCTCAAAAAGGATGGCCAGGCAACACCCAAGGGGCACCCGACTGCTGAGTTGGCGCACGACCAAACAAAAACTTACTGGCCGCCTCCCATCCCCACTTTGCTCTGTTCTGCTGAATCACTTACTGCATTGTCGGCAGCGCTGAGAGGGAAATTTTACTGCAGCTCAAGCCCAAGAGGCAATACACAGCAGCTCTAACTGCATGTTTAACTCGCATGGCACCGGAGCACGGCCCAGGCAGGACAAGCGGGTGCTTCTATAGCTAGAGGCCCTACATGGATACAGAATTCATGTCTGCAAAAATGAGCCATGGATCTCTGTGCTAAGTTCACTTGATACCCACTGTGATGGGATGGGCCCGTCACTCCACATGGGGCCGGATGCGCCGGAGGTGCCCAGCCCAGAAACAGACCGGCACAGCCCCCCGGCGCTGTTGCGCATGTGCCCTGAGCTGCGCGCCGTGTTCAAAAGCGGCCCCAGCTCAGCTGATGGGGTGGAAGCCGTTGGGGACGCCGGGAGGCGGAAGCCGCCGGGGACATCAGGGCCAGCAGGGAGGCAGAAGACACCGGACATGCCGGGGCCAACAGGAAAGCGGAAGCCACCAGGGACACCGGGGCTGGCCGGCACACGGAAACCGCCGAGGATGCCACGGTCAGGAAGGAAGCGGCTGGGAAGGCGGAGAGCCCTGGAGGCAGGTCGCAAGATGCCCAGGTGGTCGAGACTCGGACTCCAGCGTAAGGTTTTAGACTTGGGGCATGCGAATCCATGGGCAGGACATGTAGGCCAGGAAAAAATGGAGCAGCGAGTCACCCAACGATTTTTCTGGCCCGGGATATATCGGGAGATTCGGTATTTCTGTGAGTCTTGTCCAGAATGTCAATGAGCTAACTTAAAGGCTGCCCCTAAGGCGCCGTTAAGGCCCTTGCTGGTTGTAGGAATCCCGTTTGAATGTATAGGGTTTGACTTGATAGGCCCCCTTGAAAAATCAAAGACGGGCTCTCAGTATATTATGGTAGTGGTCGACTATGCGACACAATACCCTGAGGCGGTGCCGATACAGAATACCCCGGCTTCGACATTGGCCAGGGAGTTGATAGAAATATTCTCGAGGTTAGGGATCCCCCGAGAAATTCTGACTGACCTGGGGGCTAAATTGACCTTGAATTTAATGAAAGAGCTGTGCAGGTTGTTGGAGGTGAGGACTTTACACACATCCACCTACCACCCCCAGAGTGACGGGTTGGTAGAATGGTTTAATCAAACATTGAAGGCCATGCTGAGACGGTTTGTGGTGGAGGAACCCTGAGAGTGGGACCGGTTGTTGTCTGTGTTACTTTTCGCAGCTCGCGAGGTACCGTAGGCCTCTACCAGGTTCGCACCGTTTGAGTTATTGTGTGGACGGAGGCCAAAGAGGTGGGGGGGGGGGGGAAATCTTGGATTTGCTTAGGGAAACCTGGGCAGACCAGGAATCCAGGGTCATGGGGTCAGTACTCTACATTATAAACTTGTGGGAGAAGTTGCAACAGCTCGGGGAATTTGCCAGGGCCAATTTACAGGAGGCCCAAGCCAGACAAGTGCAGTATTATGATCGGCGAAAATGCAAGAGTTTAACCCTAGGGATAGAGTGCTCCTCCTGCTGCCAGTTAGAGTGTCAAAGCTGTTGGCCCGGTGGCAGGGGCCCTATGAGGTAGTGCGCCAGGTAGGACCCATGGACTACGAAATTAAACTGCCGGGACAGAGACCGGATACCAAGGTATACCACGTAAACCTGTTAAAAAAGTGGCACCCTAGGGAGGCTTTACTGATTATGCCGGTGCAGGAGTGGAGTCTTCCCACAACCAGAGGAAAGATCCGGAGGAGGAGCATCTAAGCCCGTAGGAAGCGGTTCCAGGATGGGGGTGTCGAGAAGAATGGCAACATCCCCAAGAGGGGTGGTGAGTAACCGACATGGGACTCATCATTCGGGAAAGGTCTGCTCGACTTTACCTTAGGGTCCTGGGGCTGGAGCTCGGGAGGGCCCGAGTTCCCCTACCCAACCAAAGAACTGACTGTCGAGAAAGACGGGAAGGCGGAGCTTTGAGAGGGACCTTTTCTTTGCCTTCTTACTACTGAACTTGGGTGCGCGACGGGACAAGGGACGCCCAAAGTGGACGTGGACTATAACCCGTTAGCAGATAGCTGTGGTGGAGGGACAGGTGGCTCGAAGGGGGGTAGGCTACCATGCATGGGGGTCTGACCTCGATACACGAGTATGCTTCCCCTCCGTGAACTTGCAGGCCTAGGAATAAACCTGGGATCCGGGCCACCATGACACCAACGAGGGCACCCCAATCCTACGTACCATGGGGGTGGGGGTGGGTACGTGACACCCACCTCCACTGGAGAGCCTTGGATTTGCAGGGCTCTAGAAGCCCAAACTGGCCTGCCCTGGGATAACATTGCCTGCTCCTCTAACAGAGGAATGTTCACATGCTGACTGAACTAGCCCCCAAGCCATAATTTCCCAGGAGGCTGGGATGGCAAATACAGCAGTAGCTGGGCTAGGTGTAGAGAGCTGATTGCCAGCAGCCAAAAGATACGCTAGGGACAGGAAAACTTGTCTCCCCCAATTTCAAAACACACTTAAGCAGTGTGGTCTGGATAGTTGGGTTGATGCTAGGAGGAGAGAAAGGAAATCCAAGAGGAACAAATAAATAGAGCGCGTTCCAAGGCAGAGAGCCAGTGATCTAGAGAGGTGGAAGGGTGGAGGAGAGGGGGAGGGAGGGAAAGACTCTAATGAAATAAAGACAGTGGCTGATTTTCTACATTTGTACCCAGCATGCAATTACTCTAACAAGTACAGAGCAGGTATAAAATGCAGCCACGTCAGAACAGCAGCATTTCTCTCACGTCACGTGATGGTAACTGAGAGCACAAAGGGCAGAGCACTGGAGAATCTGTATAAACTGTTTCACAGAGCACCCAATCCTAACTGCCGGGTGATGAGGGGGGGTTGCACTGCTACTGCCCATGGTCTATGGACGAAAACCAACAACAAAGGGAAAAAAGATTGAGAGTCATAAAACCCTATGCTCCAGGAGATTTGCCCACCCAGACCATGTACACACCCCAGGCCTTAAAAATCCAACTTACCCTGTTGGGACAGAGGGTCTCAGTTACAAGGAGTTCTGTGTTATTCAATGCAGGGCAGGAATTCTCCTCAGGAACTGTATGGCTACCGGCCAGTGTTTTCTATGTGGAGTTATTTATATCACACATTTCATTGACGATGGAGCAACATACAGATTTTTTTAAAAGGCTGGGGAAAAGGGAGACATGCCAGGTTCCTTCACTCTCTTCTTCTCCCACCCTCAAATATATCTTCAAACCGTCGTAGCTCCACATCCTAGTGGAGTCTGCAGAGTGACTTCCTCCAGGGCCTGAAGATGTTCTCGGTCACAGGAAAATCCTCAGGCTAGCGAGTGACTCCGGGCTTTTTCTCCATTCCAAGGTACAAGCAGGCTGACGTGACAGGGCTCTTGCCTGCCCAGGAGCCGTAGCTGGTAGCTTTGATCCCCTCCGTGATGCAAAGCGCTTTACCAGGAGACTGCTGGGCCTCACAAGTCACCGAGCACACGGATGGATTCAGAACTGCGCATTCCCTACATCTTACCGATGCAGCAGTTTCCTCAATTATCTAAAGAGACCCGAGTCATGCCAAACCGGGGATGTGTACACACACCGAGCCCTACTTCTAAAATTTTCCCCATAAAGGGGAGGAAGCTAGTTTATATGCAACATTCACCATCTATCCAACAGGGAAGGGAATAAAACAAGGGGTTGAAACCAGACTCTTAAAGTGGTCTCTAGTT